GAAACAGTTCTGTGCCATACCGTACAGTACAGAATTGTGAAGTAGCAGAAACAAACTACAAAAGGTGACATAGAATGCAAGTGGTACTTGCTCAAAAATCCAGAGCAAAGGTTGGTTTTTACTGGCTCTTCAATGTCTGCCATCATAATATGATTAATACAAAAGTCCCAATGTTTATTTCGTAATACTACGAGGCAGGCACAAACCCCATACATAGAACACACTAGCATTCAGAACTAGCCTTGGAAGTCTGCAAAGGTTGAAGGCAGCTTTTAAGCTTATAAAAGATGTCAAATTATCCTCCATTATTCTGTCATTTTGCACACATGGCCTCATCTTTTATATAGCATATTACATCAAAACAATGTGATTTTAACCTTTTATATGTTCCTCTTTCTTTCTGCTAAATGTATTAATAGGGTTATTTTTTAAAAAAAAAACCATCAAGGTTAAATAAGCATTGGCCTTTTTTTAATGAAGTTAAACGCCACAGTTGCATGTAACAATAAACCCCCAAACTAGCCAATAAGGGAATGATGCCCTGCTGAGAAAAAGGCAACTATATACAGGCCCAGTATGATGTCATGGGAAATGTATTGTCTTCTAGGTGTCTGTGTCTAGGATGTAGCAGAGAGGTTATTGAAGTTGTTCAAAGCCAATTCTTTCCTTTTGATTCATATGAAGAAGAAGAAAGCTTGACAAAAACCTGTGAGGTTTTAAGCAGGAAGAAACTTGGAAGAGAGGTAGTTTTCTTTTTTTTAAAATAATACTTCCAGACAAAAGCCATGACACTAGACAAAAACAAAATCTTGAAAGTCAACAACTAACTACATAAGTACTGCTATCCATAAGGATTTGGATTCTGGGATGAACTATGTTGCCTTCATAAAGATCTCCTGGGAAGAGGATGAGCTACAACTGATGAAGATATGGAAAGAAATATTGGCAAGTGCCAATCTCATCAGGAGGGCGTTAAACTAAAATAAATGGGGAAGGGTGGCAAAAACCCATATGCAAAGTTCTACCCAAGGATTGGAAAGGAGAATATAAAGGAAGAAGCAGGGCAAAATGTGGGCTCGAGAGTTTGTAGGGAACTATCAGAAAACCCAGTTAGTGGTGCTACACAAAACCTCAGACGTTTCTACACCAATACAAAGAACATGGGGAATGAAACTCAAGAAAACAGGTATGATATGATAGGTATCACTAAAATTTGGTGGGATGGTACTCAGCATTGTAAATATAAATTTAACAATCAGAACAAAGAAATCCCATTGAAAGTGCCCAAGTATGAATTCCCTGGCTGGGGAATTCTGGGAGTTGAAGTCCGCCAGGCTTAAAGTTGCTAAGGTTGGAGACCCCTGTTCTAAAATGTTAAAGACAAAAAAGGTTATGCATGGAAATGGAAGGAAAATACATAACCAAAGAAAAAGTCAAAACAGTCGCCAGAAATGGTAGGAACTATCAGAAAGGCTCCAGCGCAGAATGTACTGAGGCTTGTGACAGCTATTAGAAACCACAAAGGGTTTTGTTGGTTGTTTAGAATCAAAAGGGAAGCCAAAAGGAGTGTAGGTCCACTGTGAAGAAAAAGTAATGAATTGGATCTGAGCAAAAGTGAGAAAACAAAACAAAAAAAAATCTTGGCTTTTATTTTGCCTCTGACTTCTTGCAGAAAGATTGGTCATTGTTATGCCACTGGGGGAAGGAGGGACTTGCAGCTGAAAATATAGCGGATAAGCAAAAGGCAAAATAAAACTTAGCCAATTTAAACAGATTCTGGTATTTAAGGCCACATCAACTACATCCTACCATTCTTGGTCTTCTTTGAGAACTCCTGGAGGACTAGTGAAGGAAGGAGGAGGATCCAGGAAACTACAAACCTGTCAGCTTAATATCTATATTAGGCAATGTTCTTGAACAGATTAGTAAATAGCATGTTTGTGAGCACTTGGATAGACATGCCCCAATTAACAGATGCCAGAATGAATTTGTTGCAGCATATCTATATCTTTTTCTCAGATGTAATTTTTGGGCAAGTAGATCAGAGGAATGCCAGAAAATTAGTTTACATTACCAGGACCTTAGCAAGTCCTTCACCTTAATAAAATGATAAAATATGGACTAGATCAGTGGTCCCCAACCCCCAGGCTGTGGACCGCTAATGGTCCGTGGCCCATTAGGAACTGGGCTGCACAAGTGGTGGGTGAATAGCGAAGCTTCATCTGTGCATGCATGGGATCTAGGTTGCGCATGAAACCACCATCACCCCAGCTGGGGGGGAAATTGTTTTCCACAAAACCGGTCCCTGGTGCCAGAAAGGTTGGGAACCACTGGACTAGCCGTTGCTACTGCAAATGGATTCACAATTGACTGAATGACTGAACTCAGACAATGCTAATGAATAGCTCTAGCTTCAGGGGATATACTAAATGGAGTGGCATAGGGCTTTGTCCTGGATCCAATGTGTTTAAAAAGTTTATCAATGTCTTGACTGAGGAACTGAGACAATGCTTATAAAGTCTGCAAATGACACAAAGCCGTGAGGGGCAGCTAATATTTTAGATGAAAGAGGGGAAAAAAATCTAGGCAGACTTGAGCAATGGGCTGAATGAATAGGATGGACTTTCACAAGTGCTTCAGTTTAGCACACCATGGTTTCTGATGAGGGTTCTTTATCTTCACATTAATTAGACCAATAGTATTCTTTATTTGGGTTGAATTAATTAATACTAATGTGTTTCTTCATAGAATAGTTAGTATATAGTTCTGATCTGTGCTTCCTGATAAATGGGTGGGGCAAATTGAGTTGTCAATGCCCTATTCACAATTTTGGTTAGTGAAGTTAACAAACTAATCACTGCTGGAAGAGACCATCAACATGAATGTGCCAGAAGGATTTCTTTTTAGAATATACGATAAATTCTATATGACTCTTGATTAAAAGGAAGGAAAAGAATATGCAACAGACACACAATATTTCTGTAACACCGGAGATATGCCCTGCACAGTGTTATGAGCAATGATGGTGTTCTTGTGTAGGTTCATCCTATTGATATATATTATTTATTTAGCCTATGGTATACAGGGCCAGGGAAGCTACAATGCTATGCATTGTCTAAGTCTACATGGAGGGAAGTAAGCAATGGGGTGCCATAAAGTTCTGTCTTAGGCCTAGTAATCTTCAATATCTTCATTAAAGACTTAGATGGGGAACTTACCAATTTGCAGATGATACTAAGCTGGCAGGAATAGCTAACATCCAAGAAAATAGGCTCAAGATTCAGATGGATCTTGACAGACTAGAACACTGGGTCATATCTAACAAAACGAAATTCAATGAAGAGAAAAGTAAAGTCCTACACTTAGGCAAGAAAAACCAAAAGTGCACATATAGACTGGGTGAAACCAGGCTCAATAGCAGTAACTGTGAGAGGGATCTTGGAGTCTTAGTGGACAACCAGCTAAATATGAACCAGCAGTGTGCAGCAGCAGCCAAAAAAACTAATGCAATCCTAAATTGCATTAACACAGGGATACAATCAAGATCAAATGAGGAATTAATACCACTCTATAAAGCCTTAGTAAGACCCCACCTAGAGTACTGCATCCAGTTTTGGTCACCACAGTATTAAAAAGATGTTGAGACTCTAGAAAAAGTACAGAGAAGAGCAACCAGGATGATTAGGGGACTGGAGACTAAATCATACAACGAACGGTTGCAGGAACTGGGCTTGGCTAGTCTAGTAAAGAGAAGGACCAGGGGAGACATGATAGTGGTCTTCCAATACTTGAGAGGCTGCCACAGAGAGGAAGGATTCAAGCTATTTTCTAAAGCACCCAAAGGCCAGACAAGGAATAATGGATGGAAACTGAATAAGGAGAGATTTAACCAGGAAATAAGGAGAAACTTTCTGATGGTGAGAACAATCAACCAATGGAACAGCTTGCCCTCGGAAGTTGTGGGAGTGCCATCAGTTGAGACTTTCAAGAAGAGATTGGACTGCCATTTGTCAGAAATGGTATAGGGTCTCCCGCTTGGGCGGGGGGGGGGTTGGACTAGATGACCTATAAGATCCCTTCCAATTCTGATTATCTGTTATCTGCCTTAATATACAGGGTAGTCCTCAATTTACGAACACAATCAAGCCCCAAATTTATGTTGCTAAGTGAGACATTTATTAAGCGAGCCATTTTACGACTTTTCTCGCCACACCTGTTAACTGAATCAATGCAGTTGTTAAATTAGTAAGAAGGTTTTCCCCAGTGATTTTGCTTGTCAGAAGGTTGCAAACGGTGATCGATCACATGACCCCAGGACATTGCAACCGACATAAATGTGAGTTAGTTGCCAAACATCAGTGTGACCATGGGGAATGCTGCAATAGTCATAAGTGTGAAAAGCGATCATGTCACTTTTTTTTCCCCCAGTGGTCCCTGTAACTTTGAACGGTCATTTAAGCAAACTATTGTAAGTCGAGGACTTACCTGTATACAATTCTTGTTTCTTATTCAGCCTCAACAGCTCCTCCAACCTCAAAACTTTAACAACCCCGCTAGACAGCCCCCTCCCCCCTCCAAAAAGCAGCCCTTTGTCCCGTCCAGTCCGTCCCGCTCCGAAGCAAGGAGTGGCAAACGCCAACAAGTTGTACTGCAAACATTTCGGAGCCATCAACTTCGGTCCCTTGTGCAGCAACTGCGGAGCGACGACAAATGGCAGATGCGCCACAAGACTAAGAAAGGAAACCGCAAACCCTGCCTTGAACTTTATAACAAGCTGCCGTCCCGGATCGCGGCGTTGCAAGAGGCGGGGTGGGGGGGCACCTCCTCTCCCTCGCTCTTCCTAGAGGAGCGTCTGCAAAACGCTTCCAGCCCCTTCGAAAGCGGCTGGAGTTGCGCCCGGCTGGCCGTCCCAGGCAGGCGGCCGCACGCGCGAGTCGACTCTCGCTCCCCGGGTGACATCCAGGGGACGCCGCGGTCGGTCTCGGCGCAGCGGGACTTACCGTCACTGCCGTACTGCTTGCCATTGTTTGCGCCCATCCTGGAGGCTTCATGCTCTCGTCCTCCTCCTTCTCCCAGTAGCCACCATGTCGAAGCCAAAAGGTTTTATGGTTGGGCAGGAAGGCGGAACGAGACAAAAGGTGTGTGGGAAAGACCCCCAGTGGGGATGGGCGAGTGGGGGGGGGGGTTCTGTATCCTCCGAGATGCTCCTTTTCCCCTTCGTTTCCCTCCCCCTTCCCCCCTCCCCACCCCCCACTCCTCCTTGCAAAGGACAGCGGAGCAAACTTGACAAGCCGAAGCAACCGAGTCTCCCCAAAGAACGAGGAAGGCAAACGAGGGACGGTGATAATCCACACGGGGAGGCTACGCCAGCCCAAGGCGGGAAAGGAATAGAAGGCGAGGCGCGCTCGTTTCGGCAAAAAAGCTGACTGAGGAATGGCAGCGTTCTCGACCAAGCGCTCCAACTCCGTCGCGGTTCTCTTTCTTCCCACCTCCCCCTGGTGGTCGAATCTCGCCGGAAAGTTACCGCGTTTGGGCTTCTCTCCCACCCGCCCAGACAACCCAGCCCTCCTCGAGTCCTGCGCCTCGGACTTCTGGTCACCGGGAGGCGCCTCCTCCCCGTGTCAATCACTCCTTAAAGCGGAGCGCGAATGGCGCGCACGCGAGAGAGAGAGAGAGAGAGAGCAGACAAAGCTGCTGCGATTAGAGACAAAGGATGCTCGTGTCGATTTTGCAGTCTTCCAAGTTTCCCTTGATTAACGAAGTGATCCGTTCCAAGGGATGTTTCCTCTCTCTCTCTCTCTCCCTCTGTCTCTCCCTCCTTCCTTCTCTCTCTCTGTGTGTCTCTCTCTCCCTCCATCTCTCCCTCCTCCCCCCTCTCTCTGTCTATCTCTCTCTCCCTCTCTCCCTCCTTCTCTCTCTATCTCCATCTCTGTCTCTCCCTCCTTCCCTCTCTCTCTATCTCTGTCTCTCTCTCTCTCCCTCCCTCTCTCCCTCCTTCCCTGTCTCTCTATCTCTGTCTCTCTCTCCCTCCCTCCCTCCTTCTCTCTCTATATCTATCTCTGTCTATCTCTCTATCTCTCCCTCCCTCTCTCCCTCCCTCCCTCTCTCCCTCCTTCCCTCTCTCTCTCTCTCTCTCTGTCTATCTCTCCCTCTCTCCCTCCCTCCCTCTCTCCCTCCTTCCCTCTCTATGTCTCTATCTCTCTGTGTCTCTTTCTCCATCCCTCTCCCCCCCTCTGTCTCTGTCTCTCAGTCCCTCTCTGTCTGTTTCTATCGCTCTCTGTTTCTCTCCCTCCTTCCCTCCTCTCTCTCTCTGTTTCTCTCTGTCTCTGTCGGTCTGTCCCTCCCTCCCTCCCTCCCTCTCCCCCCTCTCTGTGTCTCCCTCTCTCCCTCGTGTTCTCTCTCACATTCTCTTTCTCTCTCCTCCTCCTCCTCTCTGACCCGGGGGAGGTATTTCAAGGAGGCTCGAGAGTATTTATGAAGACTTGGCTGAGCAGTTTGGGGAATTGATCCATGCACTTTTCTAAATACAATCCTTTTAAATTGGAAAGTCTGTGCTCTAAGTCTAGTTCAAAAGATCCTGCATGTGCCTAGGGTATTCTTTTTGACACTGCTGCAGGTCCTTTGAATTGTCTGACATGTAGATTTGACACTATCCCCCATCACCCACAAGAGGACCTGAAATAGCTTTCAGAATAGAGTAGGGTTTTGCAAGTCCTGTGAATGTCTAATGCTGTTCCTTAGACTTTCCCTCTGCAACCCCTATTGCTGCTTCAGCAATGCCCTGGGTCAAGGTGGCGGTATAAGAAGGAACTTTTGGAGTTGCAATATGACTGGCTTAGAAAGTGGCTGGGCTTCTCAGGGGGAACCTTGTTGATATTTTGCTGATCAACAGCTTACCTGTATGGCATTTAGTTGCTGTGGCACTAAATGTGGTCTGAAGGGCCTTAAGTGGTAGCTGAAGGGGTTGCACTTTTGTTTGATGTCCTTGGAAACCACGAGCCAGAGAAGGGAAGCCCAGACTGTAAACCCTCACCTGATTTTTGAAATATTTTCAGCAAGGGTAGTTACGTGTAACTAGATTTAGACTTAGAATGACGTTATTGTCACTTTGAATGTACACTGATCGACATACATTAAAATGACATTTCATTGCATACAGCTCTCAAAGGGTCACCACCTCCAGTATACATTATATAAACATGACAAAATAAATAAATAAATATATATATAATTGTGCATATACCCACATATATTATATGACACAGAGAAACAACACAGTCTGGTTTGGATGTATACGTGTACATGGCGAGAAAAACGAACCTTAAAAGTTTACCAGATGGATGGCATAGGGAACTAGTTTTTTTCCTGGTTGCAGATATGGGCCTTCTTTCCTGACAACAATTGACAGTCCTTCAATATGCAATGGGCATGGCCACTGTGTTGATGCAAATGCCACAATTATAGATCCATACCAACCACTAAATTACACAACGTCTTTTTCTGGACCGGGTCTGGATGCTCATTGTTTCTTCCATGCAAGGTGTTCTGTGTCTTCTCCAGATATGAATATCCAAGACATTTTTTGGCCATAGAAAATGCAGCAAGGCAGGGGAGACACCCTAGCAAGTAGCCTTCTCTTGAGGAGAAAGCAAATGGCAATGATGCCACGTCCCCAACTGTACAGTTACAGTCAACATAAAATGTCTACACATCTCTGTTTAAAAGCCAGTGTTTAAGATGTAAAAAAAACCAGACCAAGATAAATCAATTCAGAATGTTTTCCACCTTTAATATAACATATAAGCTATAAAATTCAATTGGAAAGCAAACAAATATTTTAGAAAGGAAAATAATAAAAAATAGGATAATATTGCTGCATAGATGTGAAATCTTATAAATAGGAATGTGGCCGCATTCAGAATTAATAAACCGTATTCAAACTCGTAGTAAATAGTAGCCAGCACACAGATGTCATCAATTAAAGTGACTCTGATCAAGCTCATATAGAGTTCAGCTTGTTCTAGTAGGATTTTCCTGACATTTATTCAGTTGCCTGTTACAGCAAAAGCCATGGTCTGCCAAGATGTTACAAAGCATCAAGGGAGCCCATTGCTGGAAGACGTCAGGAGAAGGGTACAAAAAATCTCCAAGGCATTGGATCTACTATGAAACACAGTGAAGATGGTCATTAACAAGTGGAGAAAATATGGCACATTACAAAGAACTGGATGTCTCTCCAGAATTGAAAAAAACAAGAATACTAGTCCAAGAGGCTGCCAAGAGCCCTGCAGCAAAATTAAAGGAGCTGCAGGAATTTCTGGCAAGTACTGATTGTGTACTATATGTGACATTAGTGTCCCATATTCTTCATGTGTCTGAGTTATGGGATAGGATGGCAATATGGACAAAAGCATGTGGGAAAATGTGTTATGTCTGATGAGACCAAAGTCACATTTTTGAGTCGTATTTCCAAAAAGTATGTTTGTCCCGAAAACAATGCTATGCGTCACTGAAAATACACCAAACCCATAGTGAAGCATCATGGCAGCAGCATTATGCTTTGGGGCTGCTTGTCTCCATCTGGAAACTGAGGCTTAGAGTCAAGGTGGAGGGATTACGAACAATTCCAAATATCAGTTAATTTTGGCACAAAACCTTCAGGCCTCTGCTAAAATGATGAAGAGGAAGAGGATTTTCATCTTTCAACACAACAATGACCCAAAGCATATCTCCAAATCAATAGAAGAATGGCTTCCCCACAATAATATTAAAATTGGAGTGACCCAGCCAGAGCCTGGAGCAGAATCCAATTGAAAATCTGTAGGACAGGGGTGTCAAACTCAGAAACCAGGGGCCATTGAGATGCCTACATTTGGCCCACAGGGCCACCCAAGAAACAGTGAAGGACCGGCCTGCTGTGCCTCTCCCAGCAAAAACAGGCTCCCAAGCTCCGTTTTTGGCTGCGAGGGCCTTCTGCAACCCTCTGCCAGCGAAAACAGAGCTCTCACAGCCAAAAATGGAGCTCGGGGGCCTGTTTTTGCTTGCAGAGCACTCAGACCACCACATGCACCTGTGACATAAGTGACATCGAGCTGGCCATGCCCACCCCAGCCATGCCCCCCACCCCACCCCCCCAAGGACAAACACAACCCTGATGTGGCCCTCAATGAGTTTGACACCTCTGCTGTAGGGTGTCCTGAAGAGGGCTCTGCACAGCAGACGCCCTCACAATCTGACAGTTTTGGAGTGCTTGTGCAAGGGATGGTGGGCAAAAATTCCAAGGCAAGATCTGCCACGCTCTAGGCTCCTACCCCAAATGACTGAATGCTGTCATAAAATCAAAAGATGCTTCAACAAAGTATTAGTTTAAGGGTGTGCATCTTTATGCTGCCACATTATTCTAGTTTTTTATTGTTATTTCCCCCCCTGAAAGATTTCAGTTTGTTTTTCAATTGAATTGTACAACCTATGTGTTATATTAAAAGGTGGAAAAAAGTCCAAAGTCATTTATTTTGGACTGACATTTTTACATCCCCAAAACCTGGCATTTTAAGAATGGCGTGTAAACTTTCTATATCCACTATAGGAACAATTGGTCCACGTGGAAAACAACTATTTTGGGCTCTATGTCATCCTTCTGTTGAACACAATTCTCATCAAGCTTTGACAACAGGAGTTGCTGAAATATCCTTTTGTAATCTGTCCAGATTCTGATTTCTGTTTGGATACATCTGGCATGCAGACCTTCCACTTTGGGGCTGTTGAAGCAGTGGGCACCGTGTTTCTACAATACTATCTAGCCATCTAAAAGATGCATTATACAAATTCCCTGTTATTTTTCTGTAGGTGGTCCCTCAGGCAGTTCATAGCAGCTACACAAAGGTTCAACAACTTCCACAGGCAAGTTCCGTAGTTGTGCAGAGGCATGCTACAATTACTTGGAATAGAGCTGCAGTGGCAGAGGGATTTACACAAGGAGTTAGAAGAAGATGGTAGCTATGTTTAGAGGAGGAACTATGTTGGCTGCAATTTCCTTCTGCCCATTACAGAATGATATGCCATTTCAAAGTCTGGGGGACTGTGAGCATGTGTGGACCCTGGTTCCATCACTGAAATGGCTTGGT